CTGCCTTATCTGCTGAGAAATCAAACCACCAAGTGGAATATAGACACCCTTTCTAAATCCTGCAGTGTGTATTTTTACTTCCGATGTCTGCATGCTCCACCTTGTATTTACATCTTCCAGAGTGTACTCAGTTTTTCAAATCTAAACCTAAACTCTAAATCTCTGAGTCCCAATTGTTCCATACAGAGGTGATACAACTTATAATAAATGTTCCATTTGTAAAAGCACTGTCCACAGTAGTGAGAGAAGACAGCTGCAACTGAACACTTTCAGAAGCTGTATGTGAAGTTTATTTTCATGGCAGAGGGCAGCAGGTGTGAAATCCTCTCTAGCTCCAGAGCTGATCCAGCCCTAAGAATGGCAGTGAATTATCTCCCTGAGTCTCTAAATCACCTCTCTCCTGATGTGCCAGGAGCAATCCTGAGGTAGAATGAAAGAATTCAAGCTCTGTTGTGTGATCAGATGTATGATTTTAAATCCCCCTGCATGGATAGCTCTTTAGCTCAGCTCAGCACTCCGACTGTGTGTTGTCAGAAAGCAGACCTGAGCAGGTGATATGCTTCTGGGCCTCACTAATGTGTAAGAGGAGTCTCAATGAATGCAAAGCTAGTTGTTTTAGTTCCATGGTGTGATAATAAAAATCCAGTTCAGATAGTAGAAGATAGTATTTTTCAGAGCTGCAGAAGGATAGAAGACACAGGGTCTGGATTTTGGCAATGCTAGTAAGCATAAGTTTTGAAAAGATATCAAAAGGTTAGCAATGAATCTGTGGTAGAGACCGGTAGGGTGAACCTCTGGTGAAAAGTAGAAGATGCTTCATAATGTATGTCTGACAACTCCTCAAGATTCATGGAGGCTGGTGCCAGGGAGACAGGATACAAACACTGCATCTCTTTGTGTCAGCAAGTCCAGTGTCACTATGGATGCAGGAGACATGAATTCCAAGGGGAGAGCAGTGCCAACTTTTCTCAAAGGAATCCCTTCAGCAGCTCCTCCGCTTAGGTGCTTAAGAAGGTCAGTTTCCAATGAAAGTTGCTGCCTCCTGGCATTACCTCTGCTTGATTAAATAAGGAGGCAGTTATTTGTGCAGTTGCACTCTACAAGGCCAGCAGAAAGCTAGGAGTGACTGTGACTAGCACTACTCATTTCTGAAATGCAGCTTGAGGAACTGAGGGGAAACACAGGGGTCAGAACATAATGAGTATTTAGGAGGGCAGTTCAGATGAAAGGCTACTGGACAGTGCTTAGGCACCTTCTGTTATAAAATAACTAGGGAACCAGACAAGTGAAACTTTTACATAGCAAAGGATGTTGCACAAAAGGCATCGTGTGCTGGATACTCAGAAATGGAAAGCTGGCATAAGATGTGCAAGAATGCTTGAAATTCCTATTCAGATCAGGCATGAACATTTACGACTGAAGACAGAGCATCCAAATATGAAACGCGTAATCACTGCAGAAAGCAGAATACAAACAATCCCTAAAATCACAAGAGATTCCTGGTCATCTTTTGCTTAACACATTGGTGCAGATTTATTTACATTACAGATTCAATTAGAAAAAAAATAAAGCTTACTGGCACTCCTATTTTGTAATGAGCTGCTGCCAGCTAGCAGTTTAGAAGCCATCAATTGTAGCACATAGACTATAGCTAGATTCTAAGAGTGAAGACAATTCAGGAAAGTCTCATCCTTATAATTTTCTGGATTTATCAATTTAAACATACATATTGCAAAACTGTAGTTCAAGTCTGTGAAGAACAAGAATTTGATTAGAAAGATTTGAGAGTTTACAGGGCCCCTTACTCTTACAAGGTTATTGAAGAATGTTTTAAAATCTTGATTGGTATCAGGTTTGCAGCCCCACAAACAGAAAAAAAGACAAACAGTTCACTGCCAAAGAGCAACTGAAGCAAAAACAGTCAATCCAGAATCATTTATGTTTCAATACTAAATACTGTACAGAGATATGCAAAAACCTCAACCAGCAGTTGCTGCCCAAAACACTAATTGCATAGCAAGAGTGGGATTTCTGATATTTAACTTTAGCTGTCAAAAAAGTAAGCATCCAGCATACGTAATTGCCTGTGCTCACTCCGTAATCAGTGGAGGCAAGAATCAGACAGGCATCTCCAGGGAAAAATTCTTCTTCTGGATAACAGGATGAATCACCCTCAGGGGACACTGTGTTTCCAACAGCTATAAAGGGTATCTAGGTGATTCCCTTGCCAACTGGAAGTTGGATTAGTTGGAAAAACAGACGAGCTTTTGGGCAAGCCGGTTCTGCTTTTGATCTGCAAACAGAAGTGTTGTTCATGTTTCTAGCATCTTACTATTTTACCTAACTGCACCAGTTGGGCAAATAAAACATATTATCTTACAGCCTTTCTTTCCTATGTATTAGACCATCATCACTAAAATGTTACCATCAACTAGATGCTGAAATTTTTTATCTAGAGTTGGACAGGATGAAGCTCACCCCAGAACAGAAATAGAGCGAAAATACTCAAAGAATGTGCAATAATTATCTCAACCCAAAATGATAATATTACATCCTGAACAAAAAGTGACTGCCAGCTTGCCCGAGTAACAGTCAGCCTGCCCATAGCAAGTCCAAGTGCAACCAGTATCCCAGTCAGTATGATGAAGTCTAGCTGCAGTTAAGTTCATTCAGATCTCTGGGGGGCCTCCGAGCTGCTCCTGAGACTTAGCTGCCCTACTCAGCTGCCAATGATAAGAGCAGTACAGCAGGAGAAACAGACTGGAGGTATCAGGCTCATTGCTGGCATGCATCGGTGGCTCAGAAGGTCACTGTTGAAAGGCCTGTTGTGAGACTGGCTTTGTGATCAGAAAGCTATTAAGGTACAGTGACTCTCATTATGATGTATGTCTAACTGTTTCCTCTGTAAATGTGATCAGGCTGCTTTCCACAACTATACAGAGGTATCTGAGAAGATGTACTGCTTGGGATTTAAATGTAAAAGAAACAGAACACAAGGAAATGTCTTGAGGGAAGCAGTTCTGTGCTGATGAGCAGGAATTAATCATGTTAGTTTAGGAAGCTACTGCATCTCTTGAACGAATAACTGGCATTTAGAGGCACAGGCTGCTGCAGTGTGTGTTAACACCAGCCTTGTGGGCTGACAGCTGTTATTACCTCACAGTGTGTGCACTCTTGGCACTCTGGGACAAAGGCGAGAATAAATGACAGGAAGGACAGGAGTCATTTCCCTGACCTTTGTACAGTGATGGTGTAGATCTCTGTGTTCAAAGCTGCATTCGGATTCTGTTTATGATCCACAGAAAGATAGCAGCACTTCCAGGACAGAGCTCATCCACCTGTTTTAGATTTCTGTCATGGCATCAGAGGAGCTTCCTCACCGCTGTTTAAAATGCAATTCTAGATACTTAGGTCAGATATTGATACATACATGGCTCTGAAAGTAATGTCTCCTATTTATTTCCATGGAAACTACAAGAGATAAAAAGAGCACAATAACACTATTTGATAGAGCAAATTCTTAGCTACAAAACACTACCTTTCAATATAGTCACCACCACTAGCTATGCATGTTCACCAGCGATGAACAAGAGCCCGCATGCTGTTCTCATACTAATCAGTGAAAGTGCCTGCTCTCACTGTCACCACTGCTGAAATGCACCACCCACCCCTCACTGTGCCCACACCCACTGGTTGGTCTCCAGAAACATCAGCAAGCATCAGTGAATGGCAATGGGTGCCATGTTTTCCGCATGAAGGAATTCAATGACAAACCTCTGCTTCATCCTCACTTCCATGTCAGAAGCCATTCTGTCAGGCTGCCCCTCTGCTGCATCTGTCGCATGGCAGCAAAATGTAATGGCAGGAAAGTTCAGCCTCTGTTGCTGTACCACCACCATCTGCCTCTGACATGGCAGGCCAACATAATATAACAGGAGGCATTACTTTTGGAGCAGCCCTCGTATATCTGACAGACAGATGTGCATGATTGTTGTGACAAATGAGTGCTATCAAAAATTTACTCATGGGTGCCATTTGCTCTCCAGTAAGTGTGACCAGTACACTGCAATCCCTGCAGAACACAACCTGACTTGTGCACGCCCCTCCCTTCACTACTGCAAGCTGCCCCTGCACCCAGGTTTTGGTCAGAGAACAGCTGTTTTCCTCAGACAATGGAACTCACTCTGGAGAAAGTCAAATAAAACCCCTTTCTGTGATGCTGCATGAATGCTTTCTTATAAGAAACAAGGGGTGCCACTAAGACAGACGTTTAAGGAAAAGCTCCAGCCAAATCTACCAGCCATTAGGCCATGTCGGGAATGCTGTAACAGCCTCATGAAAGATCCTGCCTAGTTTCTTTCATACAGTGGCTCTTAATAATGAGCTTATAATAAGTGTACAGTCTGGAGGAATTTACTATACAGTACCCAATTGGATTTATGTAGTCATAAACTTCCACAGCACTGCTTCTATGATTTACAACAGTCCCTACTAATGAAGCTATGCCTGGACATGAGATGTGGAATACAAATTTTACCAGGCAGGCTGTACAGTGATACTATACAAATGCATGTGCATTAGTGCATGTTGACACAGCAATTTGTAATTGTTTATTAAGAGAGAACCATTGCAAATAACCAGGTCTTATGAAAAGCGCCAAAAGCACAAACTTAGGAAATGTGTGGGATGGGGTTTTATTGTGAGAGAAGTTAGATACAATGGAAAGAGTAGGGAGCAGATAGTCCCTAGACCTCGTCAGTGGAAATTCTGCTACTTTCTGCCTCAGCTGTAGGGACTGGGCTTGGTGGCTTACCCAATTCCCAAACCTTTCTCCTAAAAAGAAACCAGCACAGAAAATACTTTAACTTACTATAGGATAAGCTTCTCGTGATCTAAATGGATACAGAAGGATGTGTACAGCACAGACATGTCATGTTGCTGCTACTGAGCATGTTAAATAGCTATTTCAGAAAGGACTGCATGTCGTTAACATAAATTACCTGGGCATCGCGGGCAGCACAGCTGTGGTACGTGCACAGGGGAAGGACAGTGTAGGCTTGGACATCTTATTCTGCTGCACAGTACATTTCCATTCTGCAGATGGAACATAACACAATACTTCAATGAAATGGGCTACCTTAGAAATCTGTTATCTATTCCACATTTGGCTATTTTAAAAACAAATGCCATTTTACAGCATTCTGGTTTATGTTACACCACTGTAAGCCCGGACTACTTCATCTGCCTATGAATTTATGCTGGGGGTCAGACTGTAGCAGAAACACATACAAACCTTAAAATCAGAAGAACTGCCTAAAAATGGATTGCAACAACCTTCATTTCTGTTTTCTTTTGAGCAGATTGCACTTAGGAATTGCATTTCCAAAACTAAGACAAGATAATGAATGGTAGGTCTCTGAGATATCCCCTACTGAGGGTTAGTTCAAGACCACAGGAGACAATGGTGCCTGTAATTTTTCCTGAAAACTGTGGAGAGTCTTTTGTTTTCATTTTATGGGTTCCCTGGTAGACAAAGAACACCAGTTGGTAAGTAGCCATTTTTCTAAGAAATATGAGCAAGTCTTGGGAATAGTGTTCATTATTTATGTCATTAACATAATATTTTATTTGACCACATCTAAGTTTGATTTATAATTAAAACATGGGGAATTTTCCTTCTCCAGTATCTGTAACCAGAAAAGACTATCCATTTCAGATTCCCATTTCCCATCTATAATTCATCTTCCTAATTTAGCTCTGAGTTGCTCTTGTTTATAGCAAAAAGAATCTTTCAGCACAAACACTGATACTATACTGTGACAATGCTACAACTATGTAGGTTGACATGGTGTTGGGAATAAACCCATTTCATTTTCATGTGCCTTGTGGAGCACTGAATTGTTCCCAGTGGAGGTGCAGACTTCCTTAGCTTTGTATGTGTAGGCATTTCTGGCCACTTTTTGCAGGGATGAGGGCAACCCTTGGTCTGCATGCCTCCTTCCCCAGCAGAGCATCATCCGAGAGCCTGTCCTGTGAAGAAAGGCTGGCTCCGTCTGCTGGTTGGCTCCACATTGCTTTCCTGACCTGTGCCATGGCATCCCTGCCTTTTTATTTCCTGCTTCTGTGGTATCTCCTAAATGAACGTTTATTTCTGTGCATGATCAGATGTGATAAAAAATTCAGCAGACCTCCTTTCCTGACCTTATGTTTAGATTCACAGGGATATTTGGGAGTCCAAGCCCCATAGATTACTATGGGATTTCAGCTCCTGCACACCTTTGTGAGTCAGGGCCATGAAAGCATTTCTGTGTCAGACACGCAAAGTAAGAGGGCAGCTCTCTTCCCCCAGCTGCATTCTGAGGGCTGACTGTGGACAACATTCACTTTAGCCTCCTAAAGCATGCAGCTCCACTGATCAGGGAAGTGGGGCAGTTGGTGGTATGTGTAAAGGAAAGGAGGAACAGGGTAAGAACACTGAATTATGTTTAGATTTTTTTTTGGTTTGAGTACCTAAATTGTAACTTGTTAAAATACAATACTATGCACACACAACCAGGAATGCTTTTTTTTTTTTTTTTTTTTTAAATCCCAGGCTGAATAACTTGGCCTCTGTTTAGCTGGTTAATGTGTCTTGCCTTTTTCTTAAGCATGCACACTTTAGGTGTGTATTTGGCAGGCTGGCTGGATTAACTGTTGCTCAGAGATGCACCACAGATCTGTCTCTGTTTCCTGGCTGGTGTTACTTGATCTGCATGGAGATCATACAGATCGTAACGTTTGAGGCCACAAATGAAATGTTGCTCACCCTGGCTATGCAGACCTCTGGGGATTTGGTTGCACTTCTCTGAAGAGTGAAGCAGTAGGTTGTTGCTCCAGATTCTGTCCATACACACACTTTGCCTAATTGATTTTCTGCCTAGGAATCATAGTTGAGTGCCACTCAGGCTTTTATTTGCTGTCTGTGTACAGTGTAGTCTCATTTTTTTATGCTGTAATACTGGATTTAGGGTCTGTGCTTATGTTATGTCATAAGATGTTTCCTAATGCTTTACGTAGCTTTAATTGAATCAAAATTATGAATTGCTGAGAGTTCTGTGATGATTTGGAGCCCTTAGTATAGAGGTCAGTGTTCTGTGGCAGTTCTGCTGGCTGGGACAAAGCCCACAAGAATGGCTGGATGCTGCAGTTGCCTGGAGTCTTCTTCCCATGCAGCAAGAGTTGCATCCCAGAGATTCTCACTGCTGAAATAGGCTCTAGTAATATCATGCACCCTCACAGCACAACAAAAGTAAAGCAGAGAGAACAAGCAAATAGAGTGCAGGACCACTTGGTGAGCTGTATCTACTGATCATTACTGCAAGTCTTCTTTACCTCCCTTGTTGCCCTGTGCTGTCACTCTGGTCTTCTATGGCCATGTGAGAAGGGAAGAGATAAAGTACATCCCAATTTGTTGGAGCCTGAAAGGGCATGGGTCATCACAGTAATGCTGTTCTCTAGAGGAGCCCTCCATGGACTTCCTCATCTCTCCAGACTAACATCTTCCTAAAAACCACTAAGTAGTGACTTCTATCCAGATCTCTAGGGCTTCCAGGGAATTTCATCCCCACCCAAGGCACAGCCTTCCAGCAATTCAGAGTTCTACCACACACTGACTCCAAGGGAGTTTGCAGCATAGAACATTGAACAGCAAAAGTGAGCAGGAACTCCTTTTTGCTATAACCAGGGATTTTTATTCATAGTACGTTGCTTTTGCTCTTACAGATGCACTCTGCTGCACAGATGTGAGATGCAGCCAAGCCTGTGGGACTACTGTCTGTGCATCTCTGCACAAAATTGTAGTAGCAGATCCCCCAGAGCAAATGCTGCACAGGAGCCCAGTATCTTACACTTGCAAGGGAGGAAAATAGCCAAGAAAAATGTATTCCACATTAAATACAGCAGACAAAACTCAGCATCTGGAGTGTCTCATGTGTTACTCATTATGAAGTACTCCAAGGGATGTATTCTGCTCCTTCTTCTGTCCCTCCCCAGCACTACACAACATATTCAGAGGGTGTATGACAGCTGCATCCCAGTGCCAAGCACCAGCGGATGGTAAAACCAAGGGCCCTTGCTTTCATCTCCCAGCCAGTTCTCTCTCCTCCCTGTGCTGCATTCTCATTTTTCATTCTTCTTTATCCTAGAGATCTACAAATATTATTACCATGTTATTTCTTCAACGCTTTAAGGCAGGAGGTACTTTGACTATGGAAATGCTCTTTGGAAGATGTGGGCACTGTACACACATCAGAACACAACGAAATGTGGGTTCAATATAACCCTCTGTATTGGTGAAGCACAAGTATTATATGTCATTGATGGGGCCCAGTTATTCATGGTGTAACGCTCAGCATTGACAAAGCTTGTGGCTTGTTAAGAAGCTTTTGTGGCTGCCCTACACAAGCATTTTTGCCAGCACTGGCCTTTTCTGTTAACATTTTCCCTTCACAAGGATGTTTCCCTTCACTGCCTCTATTTCCCACAGCATGATCACTAGGCCCTAGCAAAAACAGGCCTGGGCTTTGCCAAACTGTAGATACGACATACAGGGTTCCAGTCAATTCAGCAAAGCAGAAGCTGTAGGATCAGTAACTCAATGGTCCTACCTCTGAGCAGAGACAGTTAACACAGTAAACAAGTCCGTAGGGTTCTAGGTAAGGATGCCATCTTTCTCCTACACGGTACTTCTTGTCTTGAAACACACAGTATGTATCTGAATCTGCAAAACAGTGAATGATTGAAAGAGTTCTGAATTAATGATCCCACTCCACAGATAAGAAGAGTTTTTGCAGGTGCAATATTTTCTGTAAACTATCTTTGTGGACAGTACAGAACATTTTGTGAAGAATTATTTTTTATTCTTTCCCTGGGCAATGACACTTAGAAGTTGAATGCTCTTAATTTCACACGCTGTTGTTTCTTATCCCTCAAAATAAAATAAATAAAATGGCCTCCCATCATTCCCAAACTACAACTCCTGAAATAGCTGAAAATGTGGTTTGTACAGGGTGGGTTTGTTCTCACACCTACTAAGGCATAGGCTCACATCCCACTTAGGTAACAGAACTGAAGTGCTTGATTGCTCAGGCAGGTTGATAGGAAACAAAATCTTGTCATCACAAAACCATAGCAACTGGCTGCATGTAAAATAATCTGAGGTTGTACAGTAGAGATTTGTAAATAAAAGGACTTACAGAAGGAATATGCATGCACTGCATTTACACTGTATGTTCAGTATCACCTTATTTTAAAAGCCTGATAAAAAGAAGCTTGTCCTCATATTTCAGAACAAGTGGAGCTGTCTTATACATGCATCAGCTTCCAAAGTAGTCATTAAATACTCATCATCTTGCAGGTAGCTTTGCAGATATCCATCTGCCTATCAGCCATCACTGCCCTGTCTCTCCCTGTCACATTACAGTTGCATATTAAAAACTCAAATCTCTTAAATAAGAGGATGCAGTTCTGTGTATTTTCACAAGAGAAATCCTTGATGTTGCTTTACTGATGTCCAAATTCAGTTTAGTTCATCGCCCTCTGTACGGGTGATACTTCAGCATATGATATGATAGCACAATACCTCTCTTCCAAGAGATAACCGAAGCGAGAGCATTCTTTACTTTACATGTGCTGGGCTAAGAGAAGGTAACAAAGGTAGGGATTACCAGTAGCAACTGGGAGGTAAGGTGCTAGAGAAGCACGACAAATGAAATGCAGGACGTGGCAGCAGCTGGCTGAAGCAGAGGCTGGCCATTTCTCACCCCACACCTCCCTTGAACAAGGATCCCTGCACACCGCTTTGTCTCTAAGTTCAGCCCTTTTGCAATTAAATCTTTTTTTTTCTTTTAATCTACATTCTTAAAAATCAGAAGCTGCTGACACTGAGGCCAAAATGTGAACAGCTTTTCAAGGGCAAGGGACTTAGTGCTTTCTAAGAAGGCCAAAGCTCAGCTGGGAAGATGGGCAGAGCAGCGCAGGGCTGCAGGCCGCGGCTCCCACACGCTCACTGGGACGGCTGCTCCCCCCAGCCACGTTTCCTGAAGTGTGCTAACATCTCTCGCAGATGACAGGCTTTGTAGAAACACTCCTTTGTTTTTTTTTGTATTCTTTTCAGTGCTTCTCATCAAGTTTTTGACTATGCTTAGGCTCTTAATTTTCTCCAAAGATGTATCTAATCCAGTTCATATGAGATTGTTTTTGGAACAGAGCGGAACAGTCCTGGACAAGATTTACACTAACTGAAAACCTCAGCACAATGGCCTTACACAAGGGACAAAATCCAGATAATCTGTCAGATGTTTACAGAGGTCGCTAAAATAGAATTAAGCACTCTCTCAATTCGGGGTATGTGAAATAAAACAGATTCTCCAACCGATGTGTTATGGTCTTTATAAACCTGTATGGCTTTAGGAAAATGTGCCCCAAACATGGCTGTGATCTGATTCAACTAAACGTAGGATTAGGAGGAGGAAGAACAGCACGAAGCTCTGAATGCAGCTCCACATTCTTGTTTAGGACATTCTTGCTGAGAAATCTTTTCTGAACCGCGTTTGTCAAACGGAAGGAAAATGTCAGGCTTGGAGGAATGCAAAAGCATTGTTAGAAGTCTACTTACGTTTTCCTTGTTCTAGTTTACCTCTGTCTATGAGCAGGAGACAGAGCACACCAAAAAAGATAAAATGAAAATCCTCCAATCTCCTCTTTCTTCTCATCTTTATCAACAAAAGGGAGAGAAAGAGCCTCCAAGGTAGAGAATATTTGAGCTGTTGGAAAGAAAAGATGAATTAAACTCAAATCCAGCAACACACCCAAATTCTCTGACATGCTTTCAGTCAGCACCCAGAGATCCTAAGCTGCCCAAAGCAAAAAGTCTGTTGGTACCAGAGATCTTCATTTTGTGGAAACACCTTTGGCTTCAAATCATTTCATTTTTGGAAAAGAGACCACATTCCCATTCATGAAAGCTGAAAAGTGGATACCACATCTCATTAAGTCTCGTTTGATTCCAGAGCAGAATGCCTTCATCAGTTAGATTCCCCTTGGAAGGAGCTGGTACCTTGGCTCTGCAGCGTGGAAATCCATGTGTAGGGAGAAGTGCTGGCCAGGCTGCAGGCAACAAGAGTCCTCCTCATGTAATCTACAGGCTCCCCCAACTGTGTGATTCACCCCTCCTCCCATCTCCCAGCTACTATTGTTCTGGGATTGGGTACAATTAATTTTTCTAGAGTTAACCCTTTCGTTGCCTTGAAATCTGAAAGTACACTGCTACCTTCATTCTAATAGATCTTAGCTATCAAACCATTGCACATAGAGCAAAGCTCAACGTATTCTCTGAGAGGTGCAGAGATGGTATTGTACTCGCTGCAAGCTCCATTCTGTTTTTCTTTTTCTTTTTGCTTTGAAAAGATGAATTATTTTATAATGAAGGAAAAAAAAAAAAAAAAAACAGGGAAAAAATGATTAACTAAAGTACCATTTCTTTTTGATAGCCAGCTTAAGATTCTAAATTAAGAGATCTGTGGATACATTACTGCTCATCAGAGTTCACTGTACGGACTACACTTGTCCATAATTTACAGTGCTGAAAGATTTGGGTTTGATTTCAAGAGTCTTGGAAGTGGTTTCACAGTTTTATAAAAGTTTGAAAAAAAGATCCACCACTGGAAAAACAACCAATGTGCTCTGTAAACTGATTTGACCTCTTTGGATTTCATGTAAATAACAGAACAGCACATGAAATTGGTTTAGCTGACAGATAACCAAAGCAGAACTAGTAATTCATATATGTTTATTCAAAATTAAGAGGTGGATAGAAATTAAGTAAGTTTAGAGATGAACTATGAGGAAGTCACTGAAGTTAACAGCCGCTTAAAAAGAAAACCTTCCTATTAAAACTGCTGGTGTGATCCAGGATACTTCAACAAGAAAGAGATTATCTGCTCCTATCAGATATCTCCCCTATTTAGGGGTTCTCTATACAGTCCCAAAGCACCAGCAGAGAGGACATCTTCCTTAACACATGTCACTATTTAGCAAACTCTGTCTCTATTCAAGGGGCTCATTCAAAATAATGCAAATTGCATCTGAAAACATTCAAAACCATAATGCCTTTTTAAAAGCACACTCCCTATGGCAATAAGAAAATAAAACTTTCCATTTATTTTGGAAGCTGAGAATAATATTCCAATTTCACAAGAAAGATGTAAGTCATTTTTTCCTTTCAACGTTTTCAAATCACATAGGGCATTTCGAGGCCAAACAAACTTCTAACAACTTGTTTAAAATGAAAACTTCGCAGCTGAGTCCCGGGGCAGCATGCATGCATGGAGCACAGCAGCAGCACATCCCTGGGACCGGCAGAAAGGGCAGCGCCGAATGCTCCGGCCCTCTCGGGGGGTGCCTGAGCAAACCGTGTTTATAGAGGGAGCACAATCATCCTTTGTGCGGGCTTTACCTGTCGGCCAGCGGGGCCGCCTCGGCTAGAAGGGGCTCAGGGAGCCGTCCGTTTCAATGCCACATCTTCGGAAGGAAGACTGTTTTAAAACTCGGGCCGCTCACGCTCAGAAAGGCTGCACGCAGTGAAATGGAGGAGTTAATAACTGTAATGGGATGGGGACTTTTGATGTCTTCCTTAATTCTCTTTAATTTCTGCATTGTTGTTACTCCAAATACAAACATACTTTTCACTATTAGCACACTCCCTTTATTTCCCCAAAGGGCAACGTCCTAAAAATATTCCTAGATTTAAATAATCAGTTAGGATTAACCTGTTAATTATTGGCGTGCTTCGCGCTTAGCAGAAACAAGCAAAGCGATCTCCTCGCTGCACCGAAGCGAGGCTCGGGCTCCGTACCGCTCGGCCCCGGCAGCGCCGGCGTCGCGCACGTCGCGCCGGACAGGAGCGGGAGCGGCGGAGCGGCGACCGTCCAGCAGCGGGCACGCACCGCCGGGCGCCGCTCCGCTCCCGCAGCCCGGCCCCGCGCTCCCCCGGTCCGGCCCCGTCGAGGATTTCGCTCCGCGGGGCTTCGAGCCGCAGGTCCCGGCCGGCGGGGCTCGGACAGCGCGCGGGTCCCGGGGCCGGCGGGGACGCGCTGGGGAGGCTGCGGGCGGCGGCTCCCGGCGCGGCGTTCCCGGGAGCGGGACGGCGGGGCGAGCCGGGGCGAGCCGCGCTCCGACGGCGGCACCGCGCCTTACCCGCGAGGAGGGAGCGGCTCACAAACCTGAGGGGCCGGAGGCCGCTCTGAGCAGCGGCGGCGCCGGGGGAGCTTCTGCGCTGCGCCGGGGCGCGGGGACTCGGGTCGGGAGCTGCGCCGCCGCTCACGTCGCCATAGTCTTCTCCCGCCGCTCGGCCGGGGATTCGGCTCTTCCCTTCGCTCCCGCGGCGGCGGCGGCGCGGACGAGTTGGGGACCGACGGCCGCCGGCGGCCCCCGGCCCCGTAGAGTGCGGGGCGAAGCGGCGGCGCTCCGCCGATCCTCCCCCGGATCCCTGCGGGGCGGGCGCTCCGCGAGGCCCCGGGCCGCCCCGGGACACCTGCCGCCACCGGAGGCCCGAGGATGCTCGGCGGCCGGTCCTGCCGCGCGGCCCCGGCGGCACTGCGGCGGCGGAGGCGGAGTGCGGCCGTCGGCCCGGCGGTCCGCCTCCCGCCCCGGCCCCCTCCTCTCCCGCGCCCCGCTCCCGCCGCCCGGCCCCGGTCCGGGGTGGAGTTTGCTTCGTGCCGGGGGCAGCGCTCGGCGGGGCGAGAGCCGCGCCCGCCCCCGCAGCGCCCCGCGCCCCCCCCGGTCCGCGCACCCCGCGGCTCTCCGGGAAGCGCCGTCCGCGGCGTTCGGCCGGCAGCCTCTGCTGATTGCCCCCGCGCTGTGGTAGAAGGTTTTGGGGTCACACGGAGATTCTGGTGGGACTAAATTAAACCCGTGACTCATGACATTATATGCTCGGTCAAACATTCTTGTTCCGTCTTGGTGTAGCCTCTGTAACTAATAAGAAGAGATCAGCGAACCCTTGACAAATGATCTGAGAAAAAGGGTGAGGTATGAAAAGACATCATGTGGAGAAACAAATGTCAGCCCATTTCCCCCGCTTTGGGAGCGGGTGCTCGCGGAGCGCTGCTCGAGGTCACAGCGCACCTCCGGGCGCGGCGCTGCCTCCCCGAGGGCCGAAGCTGAGCGGAACTTCCATCCATCCGTCCCATGTTAGCTGGGCTGGGCGAAATCCTGAAAGTACAGCGCGTGGAGCAGCGCTGCGAGCGCAGCGAATGGTTTGCGGAGGGGTTTCTGGTGTCACTCCGTGAGTTACCAGCGCTGCGCGTTAGGGAAAAACAACTTTGTGGCTTTTGAATCCCAAGAGAAAGAAAAATCAGTTGCGTTCTGGAGTTGAGCTTTTTGAAAACACCGCTCTGCGCTTAAGTCTGTGCTGCTCTGCCACTCTTTGCCCTGCTATGCACAGGCACAATCCATGTTCATAAGAGATAAAAGGAACACTTAGAGCTCTTAGACCTGAACGTGGGGGCCTCTGCCACAGGCTGATGGCTTTGGGGGAGCCACCACACGACACAGGAATGGGCAAATGGGAAAAAGAAAAGGACGCTGAATTGGAAAGAAGCTTGTCATTGGCACTGGCAGGCAGGACGATCCGGGCAGTGTGAGCTCTGGTCCTGCAGAGGTACAGCCACACTCAGAGACAGGTATGGGTATGCACACATCCTTCTGAATTGGGAACTTGCAGTGACTTTAGAAGCAGAAAACCACATACACAATGTGTAAGTCTGTCTAGAAAAGAGACTGCAGGTCTTTGTGAGCAGGATGTCATCATCCTTGTACATCATCCTGTATCACCATCCAGGCTGACGGTGTGACCTCAGTGGAGGTAGCTTTGTGTTAGGACAGAGCTCAGTTTTCTACATGGACATCCCCAAACAGCCCACCTGCCCCAGCACCAACCTGTCACATGTCCTTTGGCCGCTGCCCTTCGTGTGCATTGCTCCTCTGTGCCGATACAACACCCAGTGCATGTGGTAAGGACAGCAAAAGTCCTTGTAGAACTCTTCATGCATAGTCGGTATAGGAGTAATGAGAAATTAAATATTTTCTATGGACTGTGACCTGAATTCTTTTGCAGAGAGATTCTTTGAAGAGAAATTCCATATTTGGCCTGAAGTTGCCTTGAGAGAGTTGTGTTAAGATGCCAGCACTTCACTCTGCATGCTGCGAGGCTGCTGCAGGAGATGGTGCTTTCTGGCAGTCTATGAAGATATTGATTCAGGTCTGAGAACTTTGGTGAACACAGAAATAGACCACAGGAAGCCCTTCTCCCACCCTTTGGCAGATCTAGGTTGGAGCGAATTGGCTGAAAGAGCTTTTCCCTGGAGTGTGGGCTTGGGATTCATAGGGCAACGTGGTGGGAACCTGGACATTGGCAGCATGCCCCAGCTTTGCTCCTGCTCCTGCTGCTTATCCAGGGCTGTGCGTGTTTAATTGTGCACAAAGGCTGCTGCTGGATTTAGCCATACAGAGCACAGAGGCACAGCAAGAGTTACGGTTGTTGGTGCAAAGGGCAGAATGACACATTCTGGATGCTGGATGTGAATGAGATGTTTGCAGGTGGGCTGATGGTGAGCAACCCCTGCTGAGCTCACTGAGTGTTCTACACCATCACGTCTGGGCAGTGCTGCACACATGCCCGAGCCCTTCTTCTTTTCCCAGCTCTGCCCAAGTGCCACTGAGGAGCAGGTACAATTAAATGTAGTTCTCTCTGCATCTCACCACATCGTGCTGTGCTTTGCCTCACATTGCAGCTGATGCGGCCCTGAGTTAGGGAATCTCCCCTGTAGGCTGCAGTGCTGTTGTGACTGAGGAACCACCTCTCCCTGTGCTCTTGCTCAGCACTGCGCTGTGACTGAAGCTTAGTTCTGTTGCACACGTGTGACACAGAGCTCCAGAGAAGCTGGAAACGTGGCTCTTACCCATCATGTTCTCAGGCAGAGCTCACTGTTTCAATGTCCTCTGTGTCCTGCTGTCTGGAAAGGAAAAACTGGCTCCCAGCAGTGGGCACTAGAAATTTGAAGGTACCCCAAACTCTTAAGAGCACAGAAATGTAGCCATGCATCTCTTGTTTGAGATAACAGACCTTATGCAGCTAACAAGCTGTGACACTGAGAGTGGGAGTGCATCTCCTTGTGCTGTGCCTCACAGCGGCCACGCGGTATGCAGTTATCCTCCTGTTACTCCTCAGCTCTTGTGAGGGGGAAAAAAAACAAGATAAAAGATTCATGCCAATGCTAACATGTTTATACACCATGTAAAACTCTCCTAATTGGATTAGATATGGAGTTTGGAGAGATGGCAGACACGTGACACAACTGCCATTTACCTCCCTGACTTTTTTTTTTTTTCATTCCTTTCAAGAAAAAAATATTTATGGTCAACTTTTCAGTTTTGAAAAAGCGTGGAAGGAAGTTCTTAAACTTAATGAATTTCTTCATTTTTGCGTTCTTATAAAATCTGCTAAACCCTTTGGAAAATGTATCTTAAAATGCTAAATATTCTTCCCAGGATTTTATAATAATCTCTAAATTACTTTTTGTGGTTTGGATCAGCCCTGCAACTGTCATACTGGGAATACAATCTGGATGTTCATCAAGCAGTCTTTGCATACGCTATTAAACAAAAAGGGCTTCAGATGTTCATGATTTAGTGATTATGGCATAGGATGGTCATGAGCATTCTCCACCCTCCTGCTCATCCTGTAGCACTGACTTCATCTGTGGTGGGGTTTCAGTCCTCAAACACTGCAAATTAATTATTTAGCAGAGAGACAGATGGATTTGGTAAGCTGGAAATCCTTGGGTATGGCTTGCTAAAAACAACAGCAACTTTGCATAAAAAGTCAAACTGATGCCCAGTTCTTCCTCACCTTTATGCAAGCTGATTCATCTAAAACTGAAGAGCAGCTCAAAGTCTTCCGTTGTTCTATCAAAAAAATGCAACTAAGTTATATATTCCTGAATCCCACTTCCAAATACGTAAGTGAACAGAAAGTCATGAGAGTTAACAGACATGAAAATGCAGGGGACCAGAATTGTCCATGTTTCACTCTGTCCTAGAGCAGGTAATGCTTTGTGAGGTGAGGTGCTGAGAACACTGCTGGATTTTGCATTGATCTCAAGGTGCTCATCTGCAGCTGTCTCTAATCAATCTCATTAATCTAATCTCGATATTTTTTTCTATCACCACAGCAGTGTGTACAGCATTAACTCTGATCTCACAAATCCTTCTCATACCTTTAATGTCAAAGAAAGTCAGCAGAACAGAGTTTTATCTTTATGAGCTATATAGAAAGCATCCTTCACCACAGTGTGGCACAACATCCGTACTCAGTGGTTTACTGACAGAGAAATAGTAATAAAAACGTATACAGTGTTATCACCACAATCTGTACAAGCAGTTATCAGTCAACCTTTCGAGTGAACCCAAGGAAGTGGCATAAATGAAACTGGGAGAGGGCTGATCTCAGTGACATTCCCAGGGTGCATTCATGTCTGTCCTGTCTTGAAATTTCCAGTTGGGAAATTCTTGACCAGATACACGTTGCTGTCAGTTATGCATGGTAATCTTTGGCAGAAACCATTGGTTTCTGATTTATCCCCTTTCTGTGCTAAGCTATCTGAATTACTTCTATTTATTTATTTATTTACTTAAGAAAATTTGAGTCATGACAGATCTTCAAAATTGATTTTCTAGTATTAAGGGTATTGATTAATTTCTTTTGCATTACTTAATCTCGTAATGGGTGTTGGAGACACAACTTCTACCGCAGTGCAGTGCTGTCTGGTGACTGCAGTCAGTAGGCACAAAGGAGCATCCAACATGCTATCAGTGATGGCTTCAGAGTTCAGGGAGGAGCTTCACCTGGATTGTTTTCTCAGAGCCTCGCGTTCCTGAGAAGAGCAGCAAGCAGTGTTGTTCACATAGAAGAGCAGATGTTCTCCCCTGCCATAGGGATCGTTGACTGGGATCTCACTCAGACGTGTGCAGGAGTTGGAAGGAATCACAGTGATGTGTGCTTGCTGAGGACCTGGCTGTGTATGAGAGAAGCAGTAAAAAGTCCTACAGACCGTCCATACCATGATAAAGATCCACTTGCTGATGCGTTTCTCCACAGCTGGGATCCACCAGAGAAGCCCTGTTCAGTCATTTTCCAAGGCATGGCATAAGGAGTCCAGGCCGACTGAATGAAGCTGCATTCGCAATTCAGAAATACTTTTACAGAACTGTGATTAGCTCTGCTAATCTCGCCTCGGTGAGCCAAAGACAATAACAGTGAGGTTACCGAACACCTCAGCTATTATGTAATTCTGTTCCTCAGAAACTCGCTGGTGTGAGTGCTTTTGAAACCCATTAGTAAAACTGAATTTGCCAAATGAGCCTTCTCTGGGGGGAACAAAGTCAAACGTGTGCCAGCATGGAGCCAGCGCCTGCCGGAGGCTGAGCTTCACAAATCCCATGGCTA